CAGAAATTGATCAGAATAAGGACCGCATGTTGGAGATTTTGGAAGGAAAGGGACTGAGTTTCTTATTCCCACTCCTCAAATTGGAGAAGGAACTGTTGAAGCAAATAAAGTTGGATCCATCCCCTCAAACCATATATAAATGGATTAAAGATAACATCTCTCCCAAACTTCATGTAGATAAAGGATTTGTGAACATCTTAATGACTAGCTTCTTACAGTATATTTCTAGTGAAGTAAACCCACCCAGTGATGAAACAGATTCTTCCTCTGCTCCTTCCAAAGAACAGTTAGAGCGGGAAAAACAACTGCTTCTTTCTTTCAAGCCAGTAATGCAGAAATTTCTTCACGATCATGTTGATCTGCAAGTCAGTGCCCTGTATGCTCTTCAGGTGCACTGCTACAACAGCAACTTCCCAAAAGGCATGTTACTCCGCTTTTTTGTGCACTTCTATGACATGGAAATTATTGAAGAAGAAGCTTTCTTGGCTTGGAAAGAAGATATAACCCAAGAGTTTCCAGGGAAAGGCAAGGCTTTGTTCCAGGTGAATCAGTGGCTAACCTGGCTAGAAACTGCTGAAGAAGAAGAATCAGAGGAAGAAGCTGACTAAAGAACCAGCCAAAGCCTTAAATTGTGCAAAACATACTGTTGCTATGATGTAACTGCATTTGACCTAACCACTGCGAAAATTCATTCCGCTGTAATGTTTTCACGATATTTAAAGCAGAAGCACGTCAGTTAGGATCTCCTTCTGCATAAGGTTTTTTTGTAGTGTAATGTCTTAATCATAGTCTACCATCAAATATTTTAGGAGTATCTTTAATGTTTAGATAGTATATTAGCAGCATGCAATAATTACATCATAAGTTCTCAAGCAGAGGCAGTCTATTGCAAGGACCTTCTTTGCTGCCAGTTATCATAGGCTGTTTTAAGTTAGAAAACTGAATAGCAACACTGAATACTGTAGAAATGCACTTTGCTCAGTAATACTTGAGTTGTTGCAATATTTGATTATCCATTTGGTTGTTACAGAAAAAATTCTTAACTGTAATTGATGGTTGTTGCCGTAATAGTATATTGCCTGTATTTCTACCTCTAGTAATGGGCTTTATGTGCTAGATTTTAATATTCTTGAGCCTGGGCAAGTGCACAAGTCTTTTTAAAAAGAAACATGGTTTACTTGCACAAAACTGATCAGTTTTGAGAGATCGTTAATGCCCTTGAAGTGGTTTTTGTGGGTGTGAAACAAATGGTGAGAATTTGAATTGGTCCCTCTTATTATAGTATTGAAATTAAGTCTACTTAATTTATCAAGTCATGTTCATGCCCTGATTTTATATACTTGTATCTATCAATAAACATTGTGATACTTGAAAAAAAAAAAAAAAAAAGAAATTAACCATGCCTACAGGGTCTTGTAGGACATCTTGTTTGAATACCTATAGGCTTTGTTCACATTTATAAGGTTAGAGCCTTCTATGTCTCTATCCAAGAAAGAATCAAATATAAATATAAAAAAACTATCTACAAATACTTCAGCTCCTCATTTTCAAGATGTATTGGAAGCAATCTTGAGTAGCCAGTGGTCAGCTGACCTGTGACATAACTACTTGATGAGATATTAAATAGCTATTAAAATATTACATGAATATGTAATAATAAAAACATTTGTTATAATTCTAAATTTGAAAAAAGATGAGCATAGTATAATTTGACCATAGCAGTCTAAAAGAAACATAAATATGTGGGGAAGACACAGGAAATAAATATATTGTGGATGAATTCTTCATATTTTCTTATTTTTCTGTAGTAATCAGTACTTTGTTATAAGGAGAAATTTTTGTTTGTTTGAGACAGAGTCTGAGTTTGTCAGTCTTGGTAGAGCACTGTGGCATCATAGCTCACAGCAACCTCAAACTCTTGAGCTCAAGTGATTCTTTTGTCTCAGCCTCCTGAGTAGCTGGGACTTCAGGAGCCCACCACAATGCCTGGCTATTTTTAGAGACGGGGTCTCCCTGGCTCAGGATGGGAGACCATCCTGTTCTCCCATCTTGTTCTCCCAGGGTGTTAGGATTACAGGGTGAACCACTGTACACAGCCTAAAAAATAAACTTTTAAAGTCTTGACTTAAAAGTTTGCCTTTAAGACTAACTGCTCTGATTTCACCAAGATCAGTTTTTACATTCTTGGCTCATCTGTTATTTGGGACTTGCTTTCTTTGACCATCTCTTTTTTCCATTGAAGCCCTCGTTTGTCCTTCTACTGTTCACTCTTCCTTGGAACACCTCTCACTTAGGTATCTTCATAAGGCATTCTAAATTACTTTCATGTTTTTCCCATATACTTGCATATCTTTTCTTTTTGTTTCTGGTGTTAAAAGTGCCTGTGTTTTAATTTCTGAATGTAAAGATTTAAGAACTTTGGCCACTGTCCTGGGAGATGGGGAAAAGAGCCTCATCCTCCCTGTGAATTTGAGGTGTGGGTTGTGGAGGGGGGAACAGGCCTAGGCTGGTGGGTGTGTTGTGGCACAGTGGGCTCCTTGGGCTTCTGCGAGTTAATCTAGGGAAGTTTAAAGCTGGGGCAGAGAGCAGATGGTGGGGGAAGCTGCTTCTGCGGGAGCGGGAGCTGCAGCAAGGTGCTTCACCATCTGGTATCACTCTCCTGCTCTGTACAGTGAGGAATTTGGACAAGCAAAGTTTATTCTGGCCCTAAATTTAAATAATTTGTATTTTTCTCCTCTATAGAATTCATAGTTAAATAGTATAATGTTATATAACATAACATTTCTGTAGTAACCTTAAACAACATAAAGCAGTCCAGCTTTGTCAATGTTGGTTTTATTTATGCAGTGCTTTGGAGGGTATCACATCCAGTTATTTAAGTTTATACTTTTTGGTGTAGACTTAGGGTGGCTTGGAAGGAAGTGTGTGCTCTACCTTAGGCAACAATGTAGTCTGGAAGGTGGAACAGACATTGTCTTGTGAATGAGGTCCTTCCTGTCGCCTGTTCTCGTCTTTGCTCCTGCCACCTAGCTGTAGCCCTTAAAGTGTAGCTTGTGCTTAGATTCACCAAGAGCGCACATTACTGCTTTTTTAGTCCAAGGACTTGGGTTGCAGAAGATTTATATGTACCTAACAAGTGACATGATTAAGTAGTCTATTTATTACTCAGGTGTAAATAACTGGCAGAGCTTTAAAACAGCCTGAAACAGCCAGGGTCATTGTCCTGAACTGATGGGACTCCAACCATGCAGTCAAGTTATTTCACTAGGTTTTTAAAAATATTAGTAATTGCTGGAACCCCCCTCTTGGACTGCATTGGAATCTCCTGAAGGTCTTGATGGCACCTGCTTGGAACATAGGACTCAAATACTGACCTCACATTGCTGGACAGTGAGGAAAGTTGAAGCCCTGTCCAGCTGCTGGTCCCACAGGGGTCTCGATCTCAGCATGAGATCCGGGGTCTCCAGCTCACCATGACTCTTCTTGAATCTCTCTGAAGAGTCTGTTCATTTCTCCCTCTCTCTAAATAGATTATGAAGTCACTAAGGGCACAGTTAAGTTTTCTTATCCTTTGTATCTTACTTGTTCTTCCAACAAATACTTGTTGAGTTCCTGTCGTCTTCCAGACCCTACAGCTATATAATGTAAAGTGTGACACAGGCATGCCCCTACCTAATGGATGACATTTTGGGATTTCAAAAGAATGTGTCTTAGGAAAGGAAGAAGAAAACAACCTGAGAAACACTATTTAAGGCCAGGGTCCCAGTGCAGAGGACATAAGGCCATAGCCGGGGGTGCACTGTGCCTGTTTCCTGCATGCGATGTGTGCAGGGTGACCTGGGTGTCTTACTCTATAGACACAGACCCTGGCCTGGGTGGTCCTGTACTGCCTTCACAGAGTCTACAAGTCTTACACTGAGCAGCAACTCTTGCCAGTGGTCTTTTCCTGAGTTATTTTCCACCATGGGCCTCTCTGGCATTTTGACACCTAGATTCTCAGGCTAATTGGGCTCCTTGGCCCCTCTGACCAAGGTGTGGGAAGATAGACACCTCGTAATATGGTCAGAGAAGGTCCACTCTGGTGATGACCTCAGAAACAGTGTGGTCTCTTCTCTTTACAGACGTGGAAACTAAAGCTAGCGAGATTATCACCTACCAAAGGTGTCATCTAGTTAGAACAGACTCAAGCCTCAAGGCCAGCTGTCCCTCAAGGTTAGAAAGACCCTGAACCAGAGCTAGTTAACATTTCTCACAGGAGTGACCACCTGAGACCTGTGAGCTTCAAAGTCCAGTGTGTCCCCTCAGGGACGCAGCCGGCCTAGGGCCTGCCCAGGTGTTGAGGTTGGCCTTTGGTTGTGCTCTGTGGAAGAGGAGGGATGTGAGATCAGCTTTGTGATTACCATTAGGATTGCCAAATACAGGAAGTGGAAGAGTGAAACCTGAACTGAAAAGCTGTTCTTTCTCCTTGTGGAACGACAGAGCATGGCCAGGGTTAGTCAGAGGTCCGTGGAGGAGGGAACGAGGCGGGGAATGTTGCTGTGCTAGAGCTTTTAGCCTTTGCTGGTTTCCTGTCACTCAGCTTCTGACTTACAGGTGGAGTGAGCCTGGGGTTGCAGAGGGATCCCCGGGCGGGAGAGGTGTCCGCAACTCTCTACCTGAGTTTCAAATGCCCACGGTGGATGGGTGACTAGCAGGTAGCTGGTCAAACTGCAGGGAGGGCTGGGGGAGTCTGTTCATTTGGCTGCAGTAGGAAGTCCTCTCTCATTCCCAAAACATGTAATTTGGCAAGAAGTACTGTTTTTTACCAAGAACTTAAGAAGGGCAAGGGGAAAGCTTGTATGCCCCAAGGTTGAGGTGGAGGAAGGGAGGTGGGCAGCCTAGCAGGCAGGACCTGTGTTTGCTATGTGTGACCCCTGTGCCACTCAGCTGTGCACGGCAGTTCCTGCTCCCTTCCATAGAGGGCCTGGAAGTAGGGAGGTATTGCTTTGATTGGGAGTGTGCAGTGAAGAGAGGAAACAAGCAAGTGCTCAGACAGAAGAGGATGAATTCTGGATAAAATACGTGATCATGTACAAATCAGGTGCCTTTTATTACCTTGTCTCTTTGGATACAGTGAAACTCCTCAAGGGTCAGGATGGAAAGCCGGGCTCTCCCACACCTCTGTCCCTCCTGCTCAGTACTTGGTTCCTTCTAGGGCACCTGGCACATGCTTATTTGAGTATCAGCCACATTCCCAAGGTTTACTTCCAGGCCATCTATATATGGGGGAGAACCCACAATGTAATGATGGGTGTGTATGTGGTGTGTGTGCACATGGGTACAGCCCCTGTAGCAATGCCTGGCATGTTAGTCTGCTTAGAATGTGATGTTGGATGTATAATCCTGGGTTTGCTCCCTAAAGGTCAGGCATGTACCGTTTATTGGACCTGTAAATGCATGAAGTCTGTATGGTGCTAATCAAGAGATTGTTGTATTAATGTGTATATAAATAAATGTGTTCTCTTCAAGGTATGGAAGATTTCCTTGCAAGGACCCTGTTACATGACACTACTGATGATTGCATTTGGCTTGTTGTGGGGACACCTGTTACAGATCAGACCCACTCAGAGTGTCTTTATTTCTACTTGTTTGTCCTTATCAAGTACACCCTTAGTGTCCAGGTTCCTTGTGGGCAGCGCTCGGGCTGAGAAAGAAGGTAGGTGAAGGTGTGTTCTGGGAGTGTGTGTGAGTAGTGCTTATATGTGATTGACTGAATTCACAATTGTAGGCCTATGAGGAAGAATTGCAGGTGTTTCTTCCTTCTTAGGACCTTGCTAATGGTCATAGACCCTTATGCCTTCTCCCAGGAGGAGCGAGTGTCCTTGAAAGTCAGCTTCTCCAGATGCCACTTCTCCACTTGATTGACAAAAAATGCCTGCAAGGTGCATACACAGTTAGGGTGTGAGGGCCTGAGAGAAAGTGAGCTGGTCTGCACTGAACAGCTAGTGTCCTATGGAGTTTCTTGGCGGGTTTGAGAGATTCATGTCCACTGTTTCACTCCTTTAATGCTGGCAAGTGTTACTGACACACTTTGATACTTTCTTACTATATAATTGAGGTGTTTGGTGATTAAAGGCATTTCCACTCTTACTCTTTGGCTGTAGTTTCACCTGTGTTCACAAGACATTGGCATCTCTAAGTCACTGCTCTGTGTGGTGGAGTCAGACTTGCTCGGGGTGGTCACGGGTACCTGGGCCATCGGGGTGGAGCTTCGGCAGCATCACAGTTTATTCGTTAGATAAATTGTTCCCATTACACTCTCACTTTGTTAAAGTCAGTAAAATACAGGGTTGAGATTTCAGTACCTTCACACTGATACTCGCCCTATACTGAACACAGGAGGAGGAGAGAAGCGGCATCGTGGTAGCCCCACTGGGGTTAGGAGACCTGGGGTTAGGAGACTTCCCACTGGAGAAGGGAGGCTAAGAAACCCTTTTAAACAGTGGCTGCCTCCTCCTGGACCCGAAGGAGCAGTGGGACGTGGATACAGGCCCCCTGGGTGTTTCTGGACCAGCTGCCACTGCCCTTGGGGCCCCATCTGTGATAGTCCAAGCATTCCTGTGGCCTGATAAACCAAACCCCATCATGAGACCTGGACAAGGCCCGAGGATCACCTGGGCCCATGACCTGGAAGGGACCAAGTATGAAAACAGCTCACACCAAGGAATACCTGCACTTGTGAAGAGATCTCTTGCTGGAAAAGACAGCTACCAGTCTCAGCACTCAAGATATAAATACCCCTTGTTATGAGAAAGCGTCATAAAAACTTCAAGATAAGCATGCTGGAAGCACTATGGATACACATGCAGGAGTCATGTCTGTTTAATGAGGTTAGACACAACATGGTTCAGACAGAGAAGAAATAGGAAGGAACAGGTAAGATACCTGGGTACTTGATTGCGAGCCTTGACAGGAGGGCAGAAGAGGAGCCCTGGGAGAGACCAGAGAAAACACCTGGCAAGTTTTCAGATAGTTTTTCTGTCCAAAAGTAGAAAAATGAAAATAAGGTCACCCTAGATATGTCATAATACAGCAGAACTTCAAGTACAAGGGTAAAGTTTTGTCACTAGTCAGAAAAGACAGATGGTCTAAAAAGATCGCCCACGTCCAAGCAGTACTGGGTGGTAGGGACAGTGAGGAGAGATTCCCACATGCTAGGGTAAAATAATCTGTCCGTGCCCAGCAAAAATACTCCTGAGGAGGGGAGGAGACGAAGGTGTTTCTGACTTACAAGGAAATGGGGGCACTGACCGCCCTGTAGCCGCCACAGAGCCAGGGCAGGTGGTGGCAGCAGGGAGAAATTGGAAGCAGAGGGAAACTGTGGCCCGTGAAAACAGGAGCATGGAAATAGGTGCTGGAAGTGGATAGATTTAATTAACAAGAGACTGAAAAGGAGAGTTTTGCTTATTTTTTTAAAAGACCATGCTGAACCTCTCAATGGTAGTGAGAGGCAGTGTTGTCAGTGGGTGCATGGTAGGGGTGGTAGGCATAGGAGGGACATAGACTTCAATAGCAAACTTTTCATTAAATGTGTTAAGATGTAATATATTTAAAGCACAGATAGAAAGTGTAATATGGGGAAAAAAGCTTATTTATAATAACAACAAAAAACACTAAGAAGAATAAATCTCTCAAAAGACAGGTGTGGCCATTGTGGATAAAATCACAAAGTGGAGTTCATATTCACAGATAAAAACTATACATAAAGATGTTATTTCTTCCCAAGTTTATAAAGTCACAGCTATTTCAGTAAAAAATTTGGGACAGTTTTTCATGGAGCCAACTGTTTCTTTTTTCTTTCCTTTTTTTTTTTTTGAGTCTCAAGCTGTTGCCCTGGGTAGAGTGCTGTGGCATCACTGCTCATAGCAACTTCCAACTCTTGGGCTTAAGCGATTCTCTTGCCTCAGCCTCCAAAGTAGCTGGGACTACAGGCGCCCACCACAACACCCGGCTATTTTTTGATTGTAGTTGTCATTGTTTGGTGGGCCTGGGCCTGATTCCAATCTGCCAGCTCTGGTGTATGTGGCTGGTGCCCTAGGCCCTTGAGCTACAGGCACTGAGCCAGGCAAACTTGTTTCTAAAATTGATTTAATAGGCACTCTGGGAGACCGAGGTGGGTAGATTGCCTGAGCTCATGAGTTTGAGACTAGCCTGAGCCAGAGCAAGACCCCCGACTACTCTAAAGTAGTCGGGCATTGTGGTGGGAACCTGTAGTACCCAGCTACTTGGGAGGCTGAGGCAGGAGAATCACTTAAGCCCAAGAGTTGGGGGTTGCTATGACGCCAGGGCACTCTACCCAGGGTGACATAGTGAGACTGTCTCAAAAAAAAAAAAATTGATTTAAAAACAAAAAGTCAGGAACAGCCAATATTAATTTGAGGTAAGGAGTAGCACTGCCAGATGTCAAGACTAGTAGTGACAGTGCAGTCAGGCAGCTAGAATTGCCATAGATGAGGCGGGTCAATGGAGGAGAGTGGATAGGCCTGGCACTGTAAATAGGTGGTAGAAATGTGCTAATCAGGGAAGGAGAGTGAGAACTAAGGAAGGAAATGGGGCAAAATAGTCTTACAACCTTAGGGTAGAGAGAATTTCTTAAGATTCAAAATACAGAATCCAAAAGAAAAAGTAGTGGTATGACAGATAAAACTCTTAACTTTTACTAAAAACTGTTTTTTAGAAGCCACAGGCTAGGCGGAGATGTACACTGAGGTTTATGGTAGTAGGATGTCTGGGATAGAAGATGGATAGATGTATGTGGAGAAAGGATTCATGTTCAGAATGTATAAAGAACTAAGGCTCGGTGCCTGTGGCTCAAGCGGCTAAGGCGCCAGCCACATACACCTAAGGTGGCGGGTTCGAATCCCCAGCCCGGGCCGCCAAACAACGATGGCTGCAACCAAAAAATGGCCAGGCGTTGTGGCGGGCACCTGTGGTCCCAGCTACTTAGGAGGCTGAGGCAGGAGCCTCGCTTGAGCCCAGGAGTTGAAGGTTTCTGTGAGTGTGATGCCATGGCACTCTACCCAGGGGGATAGCTTGAGGCTCTGTCTCAAAAAAAAAAACTAATATGAATCCAAACAAAAAAGTAACCCAGTTAGAAAATAGGCAAAATGTCTGAGCAGATGACTTAGGGAAAAAGAAACAGAATAACTAATAAGACATGAACCGCTGTTGACCCTGCTGGTGTCAGGACAGTGCAGGCTGAGAGCCCTGTGGGGCCAGCTCACCTTACTCAGCCATCAGAGTCTGCACTGCACCCCTTGCACTGGCAGAACGTGGAGCCCAAGGCCCTTGAGTATTTTCAGCAGAACGTAAATTGGGTCAGCCACTCTGGAAAACAACTTTGTAAACAGAAAATTCCATTTCTAGATACATATCCTAGAAAACTCTTGGAAATGTATAAGAATATTGATAGTAGCATTATTTTTAATAGCAAAAAAGATTGACAGATAATCTGAGTATTCAGTAATATGCTGAATAATTAAACTGTAGTGTAGGCATGTTGGAATACTATAGAAGCAAGCATGAATTAATCTTACAGTACTGAGGAAAAAGTACAAGATGATGGGGTGTGTAAAGTTGGAAAGCCCACAAATTCTTACCCACTAAAAGCATGAAGAAGAATGGGAGTGGGAAGCCCCAGTGGAGGGGGCAGGTGTGCTGGCTGGGAAGGGGCATGCGGCTCAGCTGAATGTTTCTCCATCAGAAGCCGTGGAATGGCGAGAGCTGCCCGTTACATCATGCTTTGTACCTTTTTCAGCGAAGATGTTTTGTGACTTTTCTTAAAAAATGAGAGAACCACTAAGAAGTGTAATTGTAGTTTGTTTTTAAACCTGACTGTTTTATTACTGTAGTTTTGTAGAAAGTCTTGAAGTCAGAAGTGTGAGCCTCTAACTTTATTCTCCTTCAATATTATTTTGGCTGTTTGGGGGTCTCTTGAGATTCCATGTGAATTTTAGGCTGTGTTTTCTATTTCTTCAGAAAATGTTGGGATTTTGATGGGAATTGCATTGAATTTTTGGTAGTAATTTGGCTAATGTTGTCATTAAACAGTGTTAAGTCATCTAACCTTTGAACATAGGATATCTTTCCATTAATTTGTGTCTTCTTTCATTTCTTTTAGCAATATCTCTAAGTTCTTTTGCCTCCTTGTTTAGCTTTATTCCTATTTTATTTCTTTTGCTCTATCGTAAATGGTATTGTTTTCTTAATCTTTCAGGTTGCTCCTTGTTAGTATACAGAAATGGAACTAATAATTTTTGTGTGTTGATTTTGTACCATGCAACTATGTGAATTGGTTTGTTAACTTTAACAGGTTTTTTTGTGTGTGAAATCTTAAATTTTCTGCAGGTGAAGTGATCTATAATAGATAACAAACATCATTTAACTCTTCCTTAATGGTTTAGATATCAGCCTCATTTCCTAGAGATGCACACTGAGGTTTATGGTAGTAGAATGTGTGGGAGTTCCCTCAAGAGGACAGGATGGAGGAGTGAGATTAGTCCTGATACTGAACCTGGATTATCTATCTCTGGAGATGATGCATTGTATTATTCTTTCTATTTTCCCATAGTTTGAAATTCTTACTAAAAATTTCTACATAGCCCACCTTTGATATTCCCTCACCAAAGCCTAGAGGTGTCTACCCTGGACACATTGGAAGCCACAGTCACTGTTTATGTGGGTTTTGGTCCAAATTCTATTTCTTTTCTACTTTGTAGGATTTCTAGCCAGTATGTCAGATATTGGGCCCCAAATCCCAAAGGAGTCTGATAAATAACTTGACTCCACCCAGCCTGTACTAAAAACGCACAGAAAGAGAAACAGAGGATGCCAGCAGCGGGGGGTGAAAATAGGTTGACTGTAGTATAGAAGCTGTGGCTTGTACACAGCAGGGCTGGGCTCTGCGTATCTCCTCCTTCACCACAGAGAGAGACTTACCCACTCAGCTGAATGCAGTTTTGACATGCAGGGGCCTCCTGGGCAGGGCCTGCCCGGAGAGACATGGATCTGCTAGTGAATGCCCTGACCAGTGGTTTTGAGGTGGTTGGCCAGGGGAAGCGGCACTGCTGACCATTCCCAGACAGAGTGACCTTGTCTGCTGAGCAGCATGTGTAAACCAGGAGTGCTAGGAAAATCCCTTGTGGAAATACAAGCAAGGGAAAGGGAGGTTTTACCAGTCAATATACTAGAATTTTCATTGTGTCATTGTTTGTAATAGTGGAAAAATTGAAATCCTGAATGTCCATCAAAAGTTGATAAATTGGGGTAATTCTGCAGCAGTCTTAAAAATCAGTCAGCTTTTGGTATAACGTGGATGATTTTCAGATACCATGGTGAGTAAAAAGCAAGTTGCAGAAATGTTGACTGTATGAACTTTAAAATTATGAAATAATGAACTCTGTGTTGTTTTCAAATACACGGATGTCATGATAAGGGACAAATGTGCTCAAGGGGATAGTAAACGCTGGAGGTTAAGAGATGGCTGGGAGGGTGGAGGAACAGAGCTCCTTGGTGGTACCTGGAGTGGTTTATTTTTCTTTAAAAATCTGGAGTGGCCATGTCAAAAGTTTAAAGTTCAGCAAAATTCAATTTTGGATATGTGAGCATTGGTTATATTCTTTATTTTTGTCATTTAAACTGTTTGATTAAAGGAATGGAAAATTTTGTTTGATTCTGTCTGGTTCTTTTTATATAAGCTTATATAAAGCTATAAGACTGGTCTTTAAAAATCTATTAATACCAATAGCTTGTTTTGTTTTGTTTTTAATACCAATAAATAAAACGATCTCTTTTCCAGGGGGAGTGGAATGCCAGTTTAATTTTTGGAAGCACATTTAAAAAGTCCAAAGCCAGGCTCAGCACCCGTAGCTCAGTGGTTAGGTCACTGGCTACCTACACTAGGGCTGGTGGGTTCGAACCTGGCTGGGGCCAGCTAAACAACAATGAAAACTACAACAAAAAAATAGCTGGGTGTTGTGGCGGGTGCCTGTAGTTCCAGGCTGAGGTAAGAGGATCGCTTACTATGAGCTGTGACCCCATGGTACTCTACTGAGGGCACATAGTGAGATTCTGTCTCAACAATGACAAAATAAAGTCCAAAGCCAGAGTTGTGTGTTAAACATGGAGACAGTGGGGAATGTATGCAAAGTGTCAAATTCATGAAAAACCTATCACTTCTTTTTCTTTCTACCAGAAGAGTTGTTTGGCCCCTGCAGCCAGGCATGGTGGCAGCCGTTTGTCTGTCTACTGAAACTGTGTGTGTCTCATGGGGAGGGACTGAACGTGTGAAATACAAACCCTGGTCCTAGGCAGTCTGAGTCAGGCCTCCCCAGAGTAGCTCAGGTCAGAAGTGAAGCTGCTTTGTATGTTTCTGGGACACAGATGAGATGGTCATGTGTCCAAGCCTATTATCTCCTTACTCGTCATGTTATCCTTTCATAATGGCGTTTTTCTGTAATTATATAAATAACAAGTACTGGAAATAAAAATATTCTGGTGATTTGCTTTACAAAAAGTTTTTAGTCTTTAAAGTGCTTCATTGTTCTCAGATTTTAAAGTCTGAGGTACCAAATTATTTGAATTATTACGGGAACATGCAGGGTGATTTTTTTTGGGGGGGGGGGCCAGGGCTGGGTTTGAACCCACCACATCTGGCATATGAGACCAGCGCCCTACTACTCTGAGCCACAGGTGCCGCCCCAGAGTGATGTATTTTGATGTAGGGTATGTTAAGTTGTGGCAAACCTGGGTCTTCAGTAACCTCTTTTTTTGAGCAGGTGACATTGACTACAGCACCGTGCTGCTGGGGGTGTTGGTGATGCAGGACGTGCAAATGGGACTGTTCATGGCTGTCATGCCGACACTCATCCAGGCAGGAGCAGGTACAGCTTCCAGGTAAATGTTTGGTATACATGGTTTTCCTAGTTTAAAATGCTTTGTCTATAAAACGTGATTCAGTGCCTTTTTCCAGAGACATGTTCAGAGCTCACAGGCTTGTGAGCATGGGCCCCACAGAGACCTGCTTGGTGCAAATCCTGGCAACTTGAGCAAGTCACCTCTTCTCTCTGACTTTCAGTTTGTCCTTCTGGGGGCGGCAGTAGTGCTAGGGCATTTGCGAGGATTAAATGAGTTAAGATGTAAACATGCTGGAACAATGCCTGGAACAATGTAGCAATGTGTGTACTTGTGCCTGTGAGGTGTAAGTCTGTACATGTGCCGTGTTTGTGGTAGGTCTGTGTGTATGGAGGGGGCATATTTATGTGTGTGATATTGTCGGGAGCCAAATGACGCCAGATGGCCGCCCATCCTGCGGGACATGATATGTGTGGCATGTGTGCTTACGTGATGTTCATGAATAAGGGCATGTATCTGCATGCCTATGTGGGGGGGGTGTGTGTGCGCAAGCTGTCATTTTGGTGGTTGTCATTATTGCCTTTGCCATCACTGCTGTTTGCTTTGATCCTTCTTTTCATTTTCTGAATAAAACAATCCTAGACCTAAACTGCACTTGCCGGGGTTCACGTGGAGAGCGGAGCCAAGTGGGAGAAATTAGGTGTGGGTTATGCTGCATGTAAAAATAGATTCTCAGCATACCACCCAGAAAATGAATACAATTGGGAAGGGAAATCTCTAGGGAGCCCTATAAAATGTGAGGGTAAATTGCATGTGGGGTAGGACTGTAAGCTTGGATTTGTTTTAAGCAAATATGCTGTAATTGATGTGTATCAATAGGTGCTTTAGATATCTCCAGAGACTACATTTATTACATCTCTTGTAGCAATGATACAACTTGTCAAAGTTAGTAGATTTTTTGGGAATTTCTTTTGGAGCCAGTTTGAACGCTAAGACCTGTCTCGTGTACTTCATTTCTTCCATTCTAATCCAAATGCTTTGGGCTTTTTCTTGCCTTACTGCACTGGCTAGAATTTCCAGCACATCACTGGATAAGACCATGTGTATGGGCCTTGTTCTTGACCTCAGGGGAGTGTTCACTCTCTCACCATTGAGTATGACGTTAGCTGTAGGGTTTTATAAATATTCTTAGTCAAGTTGAGGTAGTTCTCCTCTGTTACTAGTTCAGTGAAAGTTTTTATCATGAACGAGTATTGGATTTTTGTCAAATACCTTTTTTTTTTTTTTTTTTTGGTCAAATACTTTTTATATACCAATTGATATGATTGTGTTCTTTTTCTTCTTTGGCTAGTTGACATGGTGGATAACATTGAGTTTTGAAAGTTGAACCGGCCTTGCATACCTGGAATGCATCCCATTTGGGCTAGGTATATAATTCTTTTTATACATTGCTACATTCAGTTGCTAATTTGTTGAAGATTTGGGGTCTAAGTTCATGAGAAATACTGTTATTTAGTTTTATTTTTATATATTTTTTTTATCTGGTTTGGGTATTAATAGTCATACTAGGTTGATAAAATGATTTGGGAAATATGACTTCCTCTTTATTTTATGGAAAACATACAAAATTGATGTTAATTCTTCCTTAATGTTTGGTAGAATTCTTCAGTAAAAAAACCATCTGAGTCATGAGATTTCTTTTTAGGAAATGTTCTTAAATTGCAAATTGTATTTGTTTAATAGTTAAAAGAGCCATTAAAAGTATCTTTTTCGGGCTGTACACCTGTGGCTCAAGTGGCTAAGGCACCAGCCATGTACACCTAAGGTGGTGGATTCGAATCCAGCCCAGGCCGCCAAACAACAATGACGGCTGCAACCAAAAAATAGCCGGGCGCTGTGGGGGGCGCCTGTGGTCCCAGCTACTTGGAAGGCTGAGACAGGAGACTTGCTTAAGTCCAGGAGTTGGAGGTTGCTGTGAGCTGTGATGCCACAGCACTCTAACCAGGGGGACAGCTTGAGGCTCTGTCTCAAAAAAAAAAAAAAAAGTATCTTTTTCATATTGTAGAGTTGTGGTTTAGCTTTTTGAGGAATTGTTCTATTCTGTCTTGGTTGTTGATTTCATATATGTAGAGTTGTTTGTAGTGTTCCTCTATCACCTTTTGATATCTGCAGGGTCTGTAGTGATATCCCTTGTTTCTTTGTATCTCTTCTTTCTTTTTTCTTTGTTAGGGTTAGCAATTTTATTAATCTTTTCAGAGAACCAGTTCTTTGTTTTATTGATTTTTTTTCCTCTATCGTTTTTCTGTTTTTAATTTTATTGGTTTCTACCCTTATCTTTATCATTTCTTTCTTTCTACTTGCTTCAGATTTATTTTGCTTTTTCTAGGTTCTCATGGTATGAACTTAGATTATTGATTTGATATGTTTGTTCTACTGTAAGCATTTAATGCTATAAATTTCCCTCTCAGCAGTTTTAGCTGCATCTCATATATTTTGATATGTCATATTTTTACTTTTATTCTGAATTTCCTTTGATGTCTCCCCTTTGACCCATGGATTGCTTATAAGTGCTGCATATTTTTCAGTCATTTGGAGATTTTCCTCTTGTCTTTCTGTTACTGCTTTCTATATTGATTCCACTCACTGTGGTCAGATAACATTTTGTGTGATTTTAGTTCTTTAAATTTGTTGATGTCTGTTTTATGGCCTGATGTGGTGTATGATAAATGTTCCAAAGTCACTTGGAGAAGAAAAACTATGTCAGTTAGATCCTGTTGGCTCATTGCATTGTTCACTTTTCTGTATTCCTTTTTTTTTTTTTTTTTGAGCCAGAGTCTTACTTTGTTGCCCTTGGTAGAGTGTGGTGGCATCGTAGCTCACAGCAACCTCAAACTCTCTTGGCTCAAATGATTCTCTTGCCTCAGCCTCCCAAGTAGCTGAGACTACAGGTGCTCACCACAACGCCAGCTATTTTTGGAGACATGGTCTCACTCTCACTTAGGCCAGTCTCAAACTTGTGAGTTCAAGCCATCTGCTGCCTTAATTCTGGAGCTAGCCGTGAGCTACTGTCCACAGCCTAGACACACTTTTCTATATTCTTGCAATGATTGTATTAATTGTTGAGGGAGATGATATTGAAGTCTCCACTTATAATTTGATATGCATCTATTTCTCTTTTGAGCTGTTAGCTTTTGCTTTGTGTATTTGGGGCTTTTTTGCTGGTACATACACATTTAGGGTCATTTTGTCTTCCTGCTGGATTGATCTTGTTATTATATAATATCCTTTTTGCTTTTTGTAATTTTTCTTCTTTTGTAATTTACTTATCTGTTATTAATATGGTCATTCCTGGTATTTTCATTAATGTCTGCAATGGTGTATCTTTTCCATATACATTAGAACCTCTGGAAGTTGGCCACCTAAGGGACTGAAACAAACTGGTCAACATGAGGAGCTAGGTCTGCTGTACTGATATGGACATGTGATGCATGTCCAGTTAATGAAAATTGGGTCAACTTGAGGAGGTGGTCAGTGTAGGGAGGGAGTCAGCTAAGGAGGTTCTACGGTATTTACTTTCAGCTTACTTCACCATTGTATTTGAGGTGAATTTTTTATAGACAGCATATTGTTGGATGACTTTTTAAAATCTAGTCAGCTGATTTTTGTGATGTGTTTAGACTATTTACATTTCAGGTAAATATTGATGTTAGGACCTAAACCTGCATTCTATTATTTTTTTTTCTTTTTCTTCTTATTCTTTTTCTTTTTTTCTTATGTCTCTAAGGGTTACTTGCATGGATTTTAGGATCTCATTTAGATTTATGTATAATGTTTTGAGTATACTTGTATGTATCATTTTCTTAGTGGTTGCTCTGAGTATTACAGTAGACACAAATAAGTTAGCAGAGTTTGTTGGAATCAGTGTTTTACCACTTTGTGTGGATTGAAGAAACCTTATTTCCATGTAGCTTGCGTTCCCCTCCCCACTGTTTGCACATGGTTGTGCTTTGCATGCCCTTTCAGTCAATGGCAGGCCACGTACAGGATGGTGGTTCCATAAGATTATGATGGAGCTGATGACGTCACGGCTGTCGTGGTGCTGTGGCACAGTGTGCCTTTCATATTTTTGGTGACTCTGGTATAAACAACCTCCCTGCTCTGCCAGCGAGACTTCTACGTGAATGTTCAAGCATCATTGTTCATAATAGTTAAAAAGTATTAAGAGCTCAAATGTCTGTTAGCTAATAAATGGAAACAGAGTATGATATATATGCATACAATGAAATATTATTCAGCCCTAAAAAGGAATGAATTACTGATGCATACTACAGTGTGGATGAATGAACTTCAACATCATGCTCAGTGATAAAAGCCAGTCACAAAGCCCATATATCATATTATCATTTATATGAAATATCCGTAACAGGCAAATCTGTAGAAACAGAAAATGGATTTATTGGTTGCCAGGGCTGGGAGATGGGGGCAGTGGGAAATGGGTGCTTACAGTAGCAGGGTTTCTCTTATGGGTGGTAAAGCATTCTAAAATTGATTATGGGATGGTTGTGTAACTTTGTGAATATACTAGAAACCATTGAATTGTATATTTTAAATGAATGAGTTGTTTGTGAATCCATTCTCCAAGCTGTTGAAAGTTAGATGTGATATTATTTTAACCACATGCAAAAGAAAATGAGTAGAGAGATTAGAAATATACATGTAACAAGGGGTCAGTGATTTTCTACTGGGAGACTGGTAGGTTATGGTAATTTTTTCCCTACTAATATATAATTTTTCAGTATTTTAGGAGAACCTGTCTTCCAATTTTAATACCTAGGGAATATTTATGTTTAAAAAATCACATAAACAAAATTAGTAGCCTCCTTATTAAACTTTAGTTAGAACTAATTTTTTTTTCTTTTTGAGACAGTCTTACTTTGTTGCCCATGGTAGAGTGCTATGTCATAGCTCACAACAACCTCAAACTCTTTGGCTGGAGTCATTCATTTGCCCCAGACTCCCAAGTAGCTGGACTATAGGTGCTGGCCACAAAACATACCTAGTTTTTTCTAATTTTAGTAGAGATGGGAGAGTCTCATGTTAGGCTGGTCTCAGACTCCTGATCTCAAGCAATCTGGCCCAGAACTAATCTTGATCTTTCCTAAGGAAAGAATCAATTGCTTCACTCAAAATATTTCACTGATAAAGAATAGAACATAGAAGGCTAAAGAACTGGGGCTGGGCAGGGTGTCTCAGTCCTGTAGTCTCAACGCTTTGGGAGGCAGAGGAGGGAGAATTTCTTAACCCAGGCACAATTTTTGAAGTTGGAGTGAGCTATGATTGCACCACTGCTCTCTAGCCTGGACAACAGAGCAAGACTCTATCTCTAAAAAAATTAAAAGGCTCGGTGCCTGTGGCTCAAGTGGCTAAGGTGCCAGCACATACACCTAAGGTGGCGGGTTTGAATCCAGCCCCGGCCGCCAAACAATGATGGCTGCAACCAAAAAAAATAGCTGGCATTGTGGAGGACGCCTGTGGTCCCAGCTACTTGGGAGGCGGAGGCAGGAGACTTGCTTGAGCCCAGGAGTTGGAGGCTGCTGTGAGCTATGATG